CTTGACAGCCGCTTTTTTGAGTTGTCACGCAACGTTCTCGCTCCCGCAAGAGGGACCGTATAGAGGCGTTGCGTGATATCCCAAGAAAACGTGACTACCACTACATTCGTTCTGACGAAGGGCTAGCGCTCGAAACACCAGCTGTAAAATCTCATAATGGTGCTGAATTTGAAGAATTAACTCAGCTGATAAAACGAAATTCTACTTCATTGCCAGTTTGGTAACGGTTAAGAACGGGGGCTTTAGCAAAATGAAATCTCGGGTCGGCGCTTCACTGCCGGCTAAATTTGTTGTGGACAGTGTTGTCACACTCTTACAAAGGTTCGCCTTCTTCTTTAGCATTGTTCAGATTTTGAGTAATAAACTTTCATTTTCATGTGAAAATTCGACTGAAACCAAAGAGCGAAAAAAAAAAAAAAACTTAAACACGCTTCGTGACCATATTTTAAGCCTGACGAGCTTCATGAAAATCAACCTAAAAGCCCGAATGATAAACCTCGAATTCAACTCGAATCAGAAGGTGCTATTGGAGTAAGTGAGTAAGTAATTCTATTTAATCACATATCGCATATGAGCTATAGCTCGTTTAAATGCAAATGTGGAAATTTACCAGTCCCCCCACAGGAGAGGACATCCATCACACAGTGATCTCGTGCGTGGAAAATTAACATCTTCTACCCCTAACCCTACAGGAGACGGGACCTTCACTTTATTCGGCCTTCTCCGTGAAGACGAGAAAGTCTATCCATTTTAAGACCATGAGTATTGGTCCGGCCGGGACTCGAACTCTCCCGTACAGGAGTCTGGCGCTTAACCAATTGAGCTATTAATCGTGAGGCGGTTGAAATCAACTCGAATAAGATGGTGCAATTGGAGTCTCGAAATCGACTCGAATTAGAAGATGCTATCGTACACTCAAACCCAACTCGAATTAGACGGTGCAGTTGAAAACGGTTGAAGCCCCATCTTACTAAGATTGAACAAAAGTGTTTGATATTTTGAGGGAACTAAAGAAGAGACGGAGCCAATAAAATCTTTTGAGTGCAAACATTTTTTTATGGTTAAAAATTTGAACAAAATGCGCGTGGTCGGAAACCGCTGAACACGAAATTATTTTACCAATTGATAAAGGAAAGCTAGAAATTTAGTACACTGCTCTCTTTACAGACTTTGAATACTTACCGAGAAATAAAGGGTGCAATCAGTGAAAGTTTTACAGAAAATCGCTAGAAGGCCCAACTCGGAGTCAAACTCTTAACACACAGCGAACCGGACTTATATCTTCGATCATCAACAACCGACTAATATCAAGTAAACATCAAAATTAATAAACCGACAAAATTCAAGGACAGAGGGTAACACATCATGTGAGGTTCACGAATTTTGACATCATGCTACAAATAATTTGAGAAGGTCGTGGTCTAGGAGGAAATTCGTTAGTGGTGAGGCACATGATGTGGTAGGTGACATCTATGATGTTTCCGGAAAGTTGAGGAAAGCTTTGACTTTGGACTGAGAGAGGATCAGCCCACTCGATCGGTGAGTACACTGTATTTAGGAACAAAGCAAGCAGGGGAAACTCGCGCCTCTTGTCACGAGATCAGTACCTTTATATTTGTTTTCTCCGCCATTATGCCAATATTAGGGAAAACCGCCTCAACCATTTGCCTCACTAAAAGATCCAAACTTTGACTTCTAAAGCGACGAATTTTTGAGTGCATGAAAAAACTGCACGAATTATTCGAAACTGGAAGCCAACGTACTAGAATGAAATAATAGTGGAATAATTAATCCTTATTCGGAGTTAAATTTCTCTCTGGATCGAAGAAAGGGGTTAAGCAGTTTTCAAGATCAAGATCCCGTGACGAAGAGATCACGCTTCCCATTAGGGAAAAAAAAAAACGGTCTTACGTAAAGAAGAGCGAAACGAAATTTACGACGAACAAATATTACTTACAGCCTTGTACATTCGCTAGAAGATAGTATTTTGAGCGTTTAATTGTATGAGTACTCATTGATAATTTGCACTGATTGACCTAATTCATTAATAGATCATGTGAATTTCACATGATACTGGTATGTGGACCCTCACGCTTAGGGAAATTTTACTGTGAATTTTTCTTGGTTGTATTTTCTTATGATAGTCGATGTTTGTTCATTGGACCAAGAGTTAAAATTGTTAAGGTGAGTGATTCAAATTTGGGTGTGAGGCTTTACTCGCACAGTCGTCAGTCGTCGGTATTTGACTGCAATATTTTCAAAGTAGCTTGCCGTAGGGTCAGATAAATTATGTCCGCATGATTTTTGGCATAATGCTCTAGCCAAAGCATCGAGTATAATTCCGGCATAACGATTAAACTTCTTAAAAAATTCCTTTTCTTGCTTGCACTTTGGGAATTTGATACAGTTTAGGGTTGCCGGTACTCCACTCCACGCTGGCGTCCAGATTTCGAACAAAGAAGTCGCCGTCAAACCAAAATTTATCATACATCAAGCTATAAGTTAGATTTCCATTTATTTCTGCAGGTACCAGCCTTGATACAAAAATCGCCCGGAATCATATTTTTGAAAGCTGTCTTTCGGTTCGTTTCCTTGCTTCTCAGCACATTTTCCGGTTTTCTGGCCGTGGGTTTTTTTGTTTTTGTTTTTTGTTTTTTTGCCTTAGGCAACTTTGCCCATTATTGTGTCGTCCTTCTCAACGCTCCAGTGAGCGATGTAGATGAAAAAGTGTATGCAATGCGTTACTTTTCCCGGGAAACCTTGATTCATTGTCATTGACGCCAGGAGTTCCCATAGTCCTGTTGGTTTGCGGATTCAGGAAGCGAGATAATCGTCTGGCGCGGCGCGAGTTGTTGACGAGCCTTTTTAAGCCAAAATCTCCTATTTGATCTTTTGGAGGAATACATCCACTTTGACCGATTTTCGTCAAATTTCCCTAATAAAGACGAACGAAAGCGTGTCGGGGGAATATTTTAATATTTGAAATGTTTGTCCCGTGGCGTCCACTTACACAATAGGCCTCGCCTTTGTGACGTCATAAAAATTTAAAAATAAAAGGAATTATCAATCCTTTTGAGATTTTAGTTTAGTTAGTTATTAAAACAGCTGAAGACTTCTAAGCATTTGCAAGTTTTCAGTTAGATATGGTTTTCCGTCTAGTGGTCAAGCAAGGTTAAATTTCTAAGCTTTTGCGTGACAAGATTAAAATGGCGGCCGAGAATGCTGTCACGTAGGTTAAAATTGTGACTTGTCCGCTTTCAATATGGCGGTAAAAGCGGCAGAAATCAGCAGATTTTGACTGACTTAAAAGTTAGGCCGTTTATTTTTCCTTTCACTATAGTTAAATATAATTTGATATATTCTGAATGTGTAGAAGTATTTTTTGTACGTATTTGTCGCTGTTCTTTAGCATATAATTTGAGACCGGTTTTCGAAAATGCCAAATTCGTTGTACGTCGTAGTTTGAAGCCTTTGAAAGATTCGTAGGGCCACTTTAATCCTTCTTCAACAGCCCTGACTAAACGCTCTCAAACGCGTGATGACTTTCCTTTGGGATGCGATTATAAGGGTCGGTTTTAAGGTGGCTCGTACCGGTTTTCGTCTTTTTGATGGTTTGTAACTTTGAAAGAATACAACAGAAAGACTGACCAAGGCCAGTTGAACACTTTTACGGGGTTGAATTATATAATCATTGGTTATTCAAAAATAGGTGTCATTTCGTCACTAGCAGTTTCCATGGCAACGCTATCATAGGCTTATTCAGACGCATTTTTTAGCTTGTGGTTTAAATAATTCGAAAACTAACCCGGCGACCCCATGATTTTTTTCAGTGATTGTTTCTGGCACTTGAAAAGGAAAATGCACAAAGATTTTTAAAAAATTCTACGGAGCAGAATTTCAGAAAATCTAGAAAAAAGGCAATTTTCAGACATCGCAAATTTCCTTCCATAGAATTTTCTAGTTTTTTTTTTTTCTGAGGATTCCTTTCGACGTTGTTATGATATTGGAACAATAAAAAGAAGGGGTCACCAGACTTGTTTTCATGCAATAGCTTTCGTGAGTTGAGCAATTTCCACGCGCGTCCTCGCGCATTTTAAATCTGGATTCTATCAGATCGACATTTGCTCATGGTATGTTATAGCTACCGCTGACAACTGCGTGTGCTCGCGCGCACGCCTACGATCTAATGTTTACAGACGTTTACTGCTAAGAAAATCATTAAACAGCTGTCAAAGACAGCCTCCCGGGCTCATCTTAAAAATCCTACACACGACTTCTGGCTATATCATATCATTTTCCTTTAAGTTTCAAAGTCTTCTTCCCCTTCAGGTAGATTATCCTTCACTCGAGTTCTTTTTTCACCGTCGCAAGACTTCATATCGGTTGAATATTTCTTTTAAATGCGAAATGAAGCAACCTTTACTTCTCCGAAAATCGTCTTCTTTATCTTAGTTTCTATCTCCTGCATTTACAGTGGCCGCTCAACACATCAAATACAAGCTCTTAGGTAAACTTCTCACGTAAGCAGAAAAGATTCCTCGCGCCGCCATCTTTGTTTTAAATTTTCGTCTGTTAATCTCGAGCTTCTTGCGCACGTTTCTCCCGCGCGTGACGCAAGAGTTATCTGTTCCCCGCGCGAGGAAACTAGTACTAGCCACCTTAAGGTGTCATTTCCTCATCTGCATGTCAGTTGAGGCTGAGTGTTGCAAATCTGCGAACCAGTGAGCCATGCGAGCCACAGTCAAAATGTTAAGAATTTTTATTTTTTGCGAATCCTGAGCGATTTGAATTGATAAAATTCTCTCTAAATAACAAAAATATGAAACGAAGAAAAATATTCGTCCAACTCAGAACGGCCAGTACTATGACGCAAGACTTGGCACGACGTACAGATGTTCACAGCATTTTTCATATTTGACGCACCAGCAATAGTTCTGCCAACCGAAGCAGGACTAGGATTTCTTCTGGGTATATTTCAATTTTAAGCACTTTTGTAGCTAATTTTAAACTTAATTTTCCAGGGAAAGAGAGAGTACCCTGCGAGGGAGGTTGTACCGTTTACACTCGTCCCCAGGATCATCTCTGCTTTCAAGATGGCGAGCGGACGGTTTATAACGATAGTAGTTTAGTGATAGTCGGGCGCGAAAATGATCGACGACCTCCCAGACCTTAGACCAATCAAAGAAAAAAAATGCTCGCAAAAATGGCTCGCATAGCTGACACGGTGGCTCGCATGGCTCGCTGGTTCGCATGGCTCGCTGGCTCACATGGCTCGCTGGCTCGCAGAATTGGCAGACCCCTTGAGGTTTGGCAAAGCCGGATGAGATTGTGTTACAAAAGGCAAAATATTTTCTTCTGTGAGCGCGCTATTTTCTTTGTTTTAAAGTATACTTTCTCTCCTGCAAAAATAACTCTAGAGATACGTTTCTCAAAACCTTCATCTAAGTTTCCTCTGTTCTCGAATTGTATCTTGAAACTCTGCACGTTTTTACTAAACGTGGAGCGAGACAATTTCGTTCTTAAGAGGCGTGGGGCATCTCCTTTTACAAATCCCGTATTTACACTTGGTGGAAAAAAGTTCGTGTATTGGAAGGTCTCTGTCTCTTTAATATGCATTTGCATACCAAGGGTCAATTCCCTGTTAAATAACTTGCGTCTATGAATATTCTTTCTGACTTTGATATTATTCATCCCGCGATCGGCTGTGAGTGTAACTGTTGCCATTTGTGTCGAGTTTCTTAGGCAGATGGTAGATTCAAATTGTTCTTAATAACGTTAGATGCCTCCTAAGAACGAATTCGTCACGGAGAAGGAACAGGAGTCGCGCAGGCCCATCAAACTTTTTAACTTTCGAAGGGACGATGACAGACAGCGAATCTCCATTACAATCCACGTATATTCACGCTTTCTCGCCGTCACCAAAGAAGTTCACTCGCACGTTTCAGGATGCGAATGACTCACTTTTTGTTTCACGACCATGATGCAGCGTAGTCAGAGTGCGCACATCGCCTGTCTCCATTCAAAGCCAGATACACTTCTTCGAAAATCTCCCGTACGAAACATCGCTCTGAATCTCTGTGAGACTGTTTGAATATTCATCTCATTTTTTCTCTTTGACTCTTGACTTGATTTCTTGGTTGAATGGTTTTAAACATGGTGTGACAGTGAAAACTGGCAAACCCTAACCGAAGCCGATATCAAGAAAACCAATCAGAATATCGAAAAAAGCCTGTCAAAATTTTGTTGATCGATGCCCTTTGAATAACACTGTGCAGTCATTTTACTAGTGCTGCAGCATCCGATACCCGAAGAACCCTAGTACACTCGGTCCTTTCCACCTCATCGGGTCTTGGTGCTTCCTAAAAGGAAAACTCGGTTAAGTTATTTTTATCTTAAACTGCATTTATTAAGCTTTTTTTCTGATATATAGTCTGCTAGGATTTTAGTGAAACTGGCGCGCGTAAGCCGACACCAGCGAAGTTGGGGGGTAAACCTTAAATGTTGTGTTCATTTTTGGTAAGTTTAGCGGTTGATGGCACGGTATGAAAGGGGCCGGGGGGGGTGATCGAGGGGCTTGTCAAGCATGTTTTAAGGGGTAATGCTCAAAAGCATAATGCTACTAAACATTTTCTAGTAAAATTAATCTGACATAAGGCCCTGCGGGAAAGCCCTCATTATTGGTGCTACGGTATGCAGAAGCGCGTCTTTGCCGCCAGAAAATTTTGAGGCCTCGAGCAAAGCGATCTGGCGAGAGGCCAGAGATGGGTCTATTTTGACTGGTGGAGGCCTGAAAAGGACCGAAAATCTTTCAACCATTTTCATTTAAGAAAAGATGAAAACATGCTTAAACGCTCTGTTCGACTGTAAGAAAAACCAAGTCGATCGGATCGATTTTTTTTTTTTTAATGCCCTCTTCAAACTACAAACGAAGACGCTCGCGCTTGCTGAATCGCTTTGTTCGATGGTAGGAGAAACAAAATGGATGGTTTTTTCACTCTGTAGAAATGCCCACCTCAAACTACAAAGTGAAGGAGGGGGATCAGTCGTCGTCAACAGGGTATAGATCAATATCCAAATAAACTCCCAATGAACTCCCAATTACGGGGGGTCTTAAGAATGCGACAAAGCCTTACGGGAGACCGCGGATCACGGGTAAATTTCTCGTGACACATCCGAAATCCTCCAACTCCAACCCCCAATCTTCGGTCTTCATTTTATAGACACCTGGTCTGGAGGGCTCAAGCCCTGGTCTCCCTGTTAGACGATATATCCACAGGACACCAGTTTATTCTCACTACCTTGCTTTATTTTGCTCAGAGGTTCTCAGACCACTGCAGAATGTCAGCAATTGAAGAAGGCGGTGAACGCGCACCGTTAATTTCAAAGGAAAAAGAAGGCAAGGACTCTTCAACTTATGGGAAGACAAGTACCAATTCTTCGGCTTCCCGGTCGTATGGAGCTTTAAGTCGTCGGCAAAGGATCCTGAATGCAATATGTATTCTTATGACTGAGTTATGTGAGCGCCTGACCTTCTATGGGGCATCTGCGAATCTAGTATTATTTTCCCAGAGTGTGTTAAAGCTTGGGTCACCTTGGCCATCATTAATCACTCTTTTGTTCCAAGGTAGGTCAAATGTTGTCTTGAGGTTATGAAAGGTACTCGGCTTTAAAATGGGTCTCGGTGCGACGGGATACAGCTAAACATAAAAGGATGACAGAAAAAAAGCCTTCGCTGATGTAAAAATTTCTAACACACACTCCCAAGCACACACGCACGCAGCCCAACTACAGTCTGCAAGAAAGTGCAAGAGAGAGGCATTGAGACTCAAAACTCGGAGTGTTGAGTAAATAGAACTATGATTTTTTTACTGGTTTTACTTTTATAGGGACATGCTACGTTACACCTTTGCTTGGGGGTTGGCTGTCGGATACCTACTTGGGTCAGTTCAACACTATTTACGGATGCTGTTTGTGGTATTTGGTTGGGGTCATCCTTCTGGCTGCAGTATCAATTACTGATGATATGCTGACCACAGCATTTGATACATCGGCGAGATTGGTGTATTTTGCCATTGCCCTTGTGTTGATAGCACTTTGCGCGGGAGGAATCAAAGCCAATGTAGCAGCATTTGGAGCAGATCAGCTGAATCAGGATGGTCCAAGAGCTGTTCAGACCTTCTATAACTGGTATTATTGGTTTATAAACACGGGATCCTTATTAGCGATAACAGTGGTAGTTGGAGTTCAGCAAATAGACATTTTCTCTGGTTATGCCATCAATGCTGTTTCAATTATCTTTGGTCTGGTTGCATTGTTAGCCCGTCGTAACAAGTACTTGGTCAAGCCACCGGTTGGTAGTCAACTGACTGAAATTGCAAAAATAACTGGTAATGCTATTCAAAATCGGAAACAGAACAATGGGGGCTGGATGGACGGAGCGAAGAGCACGTTTGGCGGAAAGTTCAGTCATGAAAAGGTTGAAGATGTTAAAGCAGTCTTGAGAGTTCTTCCGGTGTTCGTTACTTTCATCCTTTTCTTTACCGTTTACTTCCAGGTAAAGATTTTAGAGTAGCATCAGCCAATACTTTTCTAGAGTGAATAAGTATAGAAAAAAAATCTTTCAGGGTGGTAAGAGTTCCACGCCCAACGTTTTGGAGTTTTTCTAACCCTTTCATATGATCGTTGTTATCTACGGACAATAACTTAGAAGCTGATTGCACGACTAAAGCGTTTAATCCATGTCTTTTCTTTCTTCTTTTAGATCAGCACATCGTGCCTTGTTCAAGGTGCATACATGAACCTAAAATTGCTAGACTTTACCATACCACCAACGTCGTCAATGGTTGTTACCGTTGTCTTCGTTCTTGTGCTGACTCCTCTCCTAGAACATGCTGCCTATCCCTACTTAGAACGCATTGGCATTAAGCTTACCCCCTTACGGCGCATTGGTGCGGGCTTTCTGTCATCAGCAGTATCTATGCTTACAGCTGGTCTAGTTGAAATAAAACGACGAGAAGTATGGCTAGCTGGTGACATCTGCAAACAGGAAGTTTTAGGGGAAACTCGCAACGCCTCATGTCTCAGTGTTTTCTGGCAATCACCTCAATTCATGTTGATTGGAACTGGTGAAGTGCTGGCAACTATTGCGGGTATGAGATTTTACAAAACTTGTGCTAAGTTGTTAAATTGACCAAATCTCGTGATTTGAAATCACAAGTATGATTTCAGTACAAAATTGCAAGACACAAAGTGTAATTATCACTTTATTATTTTGAAATTGCAAAATTCAGTCGCTCAGATACATGATTTTTTAGTCTGTACGAATGTTTTGATGATCCAGTAGTGACCTGGTTTTTAGGAAGTTGCAAAAGTTGTTTTTCATTTTCCTGCAATTTGATTGGTTGTTTCATTTTAGTAAAGCTTCCTCATTGGCCGAAAAAAAGAAACAATTTCGAACAAGTGATGGTGGGAAGAAATAATCGCGAATAAATCGCACCGATAAGAAACAACCGGATTACAGGGATCACTAAAGATTTCAAAATGGATGTAATAAATGCAGTAAATGGGTGAAGTGAAGGAAACAAAAATCTTAAAGCAGAGACCAAATTATAGCAGAATGCCTTAAAATATTATTTACTACATTTACTATTATTTGCATATATTTACTATATTTCGGCTTGTCAAGCAAGCCTTCAGACAGAGTTTACATTAGATGGAGCAGGGGCGCTGCGTTTTCCAGGAATATACATGTAACACCAAAAATATACGTCAATGCAATGTGATAGACAGTGTTGTATAATCAAAGATGAAGAAAACCTCTAAAATGATAAAAAGGAAGGGAGTCAAACATATAACTCAAGGGTGTAGCAAGGGGGGAAGTAGAGGTGCCCGTGACTATATTATCAAGTTAAACACGGCATGGAAGTTGACGAGACAATCTGGTGAGTACCCCCCTTTGAAAAATCCTGACTACGTCCCTGTACATTTGTTCGTAGAGTAGAAGTCGTTAGAAAATATGAAGCATTTTGTAATATATGGTACTTGCTCTTCATGCTACGTCAGGGTTCATTGAGTCTTATTAAGTCTTATTATTATCACTTTTTCGAGCACTGTAAATCTGAGAATTTGGCTTCTAGCCCGCTGAATAGCACCAATGAAAAGTGGGAATCAAACAATCGTACGAAAAAAGCACCCTGTTAAAATTTTGCGGCCATTGCTGTGGTCGCGCGAAGCTTGTTTCTGCCCGCGAACATAAAAGTTATTATTTTGATATCAATCATTCTACTCCCTCCCCCCTCGGAGTAACCTCTACAGAATTTGCAACCTTCACCTTGTGGTATAAATTGTAATCTTTTGAAATGCGCAGTTAACCTTTAAACTTGTTTACTCTTTTTGAAGGACTTGAGTTTGCATACTCACAGGCTCCTGAGTACCTGAAAGGAGTGATCATGGGTGTGTTCCTCGCAGCCACCGGCTTTGGGGCTTTCCTTGCAAACCTTCTAGTTGGTGTTGTGAACGATGATTGGTACCCTGAGAAGGATCCCAATCAAGGTCACATGGAGTACTACTTCTTCCTGCTGTCTGGTCTGATGATGCTAAATTTTCTGCTGTTCCTCTATATTGCGTCTTCATACAAATACAAAGGATCGGCCGAGCAAGGCGAAGAGTATGAGAAGGAACAGGATGTGCTTCAATTAAGTGTTAGTACTCAGTCTGTGCGAAGCTGATCTGCACGTTTACTTGTGAAAGAGTTACAATGCGAATTTATGGCAAAATGTCAACCGGATTGGCAGACTTGTATTGCTTTTCTCTAGTCAGAATGGCTGATTACGTATTATGTGTATTTGAAAGTAATCAACTTTCGTTTAAGGTACAATTTGAGATAAGGGTGGGGCCCAAGGGTACCAGTTTCCCCCCCTCATCCCCCTCCGTCATCATTTTTTACTCGTCTGGTACGAAAATCCTTGCAAGGGCAGGATCGCATAATTACATTCAACTAAAATATTTATTCAAAATGTACACGTCTTAAAATATTTCTCAGCTTAGTCAGGCTTTATTTTAATAAAGAACGCAGTTTAACTGCATGTATGCTTGTTTGTATTGTATTTATTTTCGATCATTAGACAGGCTAGCCCAGTTCAGCTTAAGCTGGCTTACATGGGGGCCTTTATAAACGATAACCGTGAGGCCAGACCACAACACCGGGTACTACGTTCATGTTCCTTAGGAGAAGAGCGTGGCCCTTCTAACCAGCTTTAAAGGCCCATTTTCAACGGAGATGCCTTGCGCGCCCAGATCATTGTTCCTATATGAAAAATACGCTATTTTCCTCGAAGTTGCGGAATCGCTTTGATATCTTCTTCCATCTTACTAATTAGGGCTTTCAAAGTTCCATCTTGAATCATGTGCGAACAACAAACTATCGTAGTATCCATATCAGTAAATAGTTTTTAATTCTTACATGTATGGCGGTGAAAAACGTCGTTTGAAAAGTTGATGCTGCCGAAGAAGCGGTCTAGAGGAAGGCCGAGTCTGCCCGGCTCGGCAAAGGTTATTCGACTTCGAGAGTCTGTGTATGATTTATGGAGGGCAAGGAAAACAACAATGGGTTTCGGTAACACTACAGACAGTGCTTTTGCAGAAATGTTATTGCATTGTTCCTACGATGGAACTAGAGACTCCGGGGAGATTTTTTCGAGGTGAGAATAATTATTTGACTGATTTTTACTTGAGATCCTGAGATATGTATGTAAGCGATCTCATTTGTACAAGTCATTATTCTATAATTGAAATGCGTAAAGTAAATCAGTTTTGGCCAATATTGGTTATTTGTTTATATTTTATTTAGTGTTGAAGCCGAACAATTTCCTTCAACATCAAGTAAGCTTTGTACAAGTTTTATACACAGACTCGATTTATGATTTTTCAGTCTCAAATATTTAGCTGCAAATTTGTTTACTGTGTTCTTCACCAAATCTTTGTTTTTCTTTTTAATAGTGTTTGTGAATGACTATCAGAGTTCGCCATTTAACAATAGCGCGATTCCAAAACAAAAACAAACGACTGCAAAGGATCTCGGATGAAAATGGGCCTTTAACAAGAAT